CCCACAACTTGGACTTTTCCATCCCTCTACATATCTGGCCATGGGACCACCAGGCAACCCAGGAGGTGACTTCAGCTATCCCATTACCAGAACCTCCCCTCTGCCATATTTGACCACCTCCTGGGAAAAGCAGCACATGATTTTTAAAAGATATTTAAGCCTCCATTGAAGATGGTAGGACATTGCTCTAGAACCTTAGGAATCTGTGAAAATTCATTATACCAAATAGAGTAAAGCCTGTCACACTCTCCTCAAATGAAGTCATGCTACCCATGGGAAAGAAGGGGAAGTACTCAGATCACAGATGCCTGCTCAGGAACTATCTCACAGAAACAATCCAAGAAACAGCCAACCTTAAGATGATTTTAATTAACAACTGACCATGGAACAGAAAACTGTGGCCTTAAAACTAGCCTTACATAGTAACTGCTGCCACTTGCCAGTTCCCTTAAGCACTGAAAGTGTCAATGAACTATCATATTCACTTACATAGAATTTTCTGTCCTAATAAAATCCCCAGCTTTTCTTCTGTTCTTTTGTTATACCAGAGGCCACCCTCAGCTGTGCATGTATGTTCAGATTACAATCTTATTCTTCACTCACAAATAAAAACCTCCTTTCATTGACTTTGACAGGATCTATTTGTGATTGTCCCAGTGGGGCTTACTATAAACATTTTTAATTTTTACCAAAGACAAGAAAATATGAATACAAATGATCCCTAACTTATGATGGTTTGAGTTATGATGACTCAAAAGGCATACCCATTTAGGAGAAACTGTACCTAAAACTTTAAATTTTGAACTTTTCCTGGATCACTGATATGTAGTGATATGTACTCTGTCATGATACTGGGCAGTGCCAGTGAGCCACTGCTCCCAGTCAACCCTGAGATTATGGGGATGAACAACAGACATTCTATGGTGTACTATGTGGCTAAGCTCTGAAGTTTGGCAGATTAGATATATTAAAAGCATTTTGATTTATGATATATTCACTATATGGTGATTTTATTGGGATGTAAGTCCATCATAAATCAAAGAACATCTGTATAGAAGTGCATAAGAAAAAAAGCAAAAAGCTTTCTAAACTTTATCATTAGAGACAATTTTTGCCATCTCATCAACATTCTAGTGAGCATCCTTTTCAACTTTACCTATGTATTTACCTACATGCAACTGGCTATGAAATTGTTGTTTTCACATGTTTTTTGATTCACAATATGTCCATGAATCTAGATGTACATCGTTCCTTCATTTACATGTGTGTATCATAAATTAACCAGTTTTCTCTAGACGAAGTTCTTAACTGGGTGGTACTGCCCTCTAGAGTTATTTCTTGTGAATAGATTATTTACATGATGAAATGTTTATTTTGTCATAAATTACATAATTTTTATTTTTCTTTTAAATATGATGTAGGTATATTTTATTGTAAGTATCTATGACTTTCATTCAAGACTGTAAAGAAGATTTTACAAAATATTTCTTATAACAGGAGGGCCAAGTCAGCCACGATTGATAAATTGTGCTTATATAGGCATTCCTCCTTTAACTGAGTTCCTGTCCTGCAACTAGGTCATTAAGTGAATTGGTCGCTAACTGAGGAATTGTATATAGCACGTACCTTACAATATTCAGAACAAAGAAACAGTTGAGGGAAACTCCAACTTGTTGACTTTGCCTTTATTTGCAAAACTCTTACATGCAGTACTGTAGTATGTGACAACATAAAACTATAATACTGTACTATACAATACAATCAGAAAAATTTATAGTACTGTATAAATAAGGTGTACTGTAAAAAAAAAGACATCGAGGCTTTATCAACAAGATGTACAGAACTGTACACACATATGCAAAAAGACTGGCCATAAGTCTGAGCACAGGGTCAGAAGTCCAAATAGTCATTAAACAGGTAGGTTGTTAAACGAGGTATAATTGTAGATGAACACAGAATATTTTAAATTTTTGTATTATTAAAAATGCTGTGCTGAACATCTTTGTACATTCTTCCTTTGGAGAGGGTTGCTAAGTCAAAGGAGATGCATTTTTTTGGTTTTTTGGGTTTGTTTTGCTTTTCCGGTACCGAGGATCAAACTCAGGACCTTGCGTTTGGGAGGCAGGCAGGGTGCCACTGAGCTAAATCCCCAGCCCTATATTTTTAAAAATCTCATAATTGTGTCTGTTTCCCCAGATGCCAATGGAGAATGTGAGTGTCAGTTTCTTTGGACACTCACCAACAGTAACACAATCGTGATGTAAATGGAGTCGCTCTCCTCTTAAAGAGATAGATAAGATTTTGTTAAAACTCCTATTTGATGCTGTGGGGCAAATCTGGAGCCCTCTCCATGATTCTAAAGTTCTAGAAACTGACTTTTTTCCTAGCCACTTCTTGTTTTAATTTCTGACTTCTACTGATTTTTCTCCTTCTAATTTTTTTAAAAATAATTACTATATTGAGATAAACTGCACATACCACACAATTCACTCTTTGGATATATATAAATCGATAGATTTTAGTATTTTCAGTTTAGCAACCATCAGTACAATGAATTTTAAAACATTTTTTCCTCACTGCCCAATGGCAATCATTTTCTCCAACGTCCCAACTCTAGGCAACCACTAATCTACTTTCTGGATGAATTTACCTATTCTGAGTGTTTCATATAAATGGAATTATAAAATACATAGGTTTCTGTCAGTGGCTTCTTTGGCTTAGTACAATATTTTCAATATTCATCTTGTAGCAAGTAATAGCACTTCATTCCTTTTAATTGTTGAATAATATTCTGTGGGGTGCATATACCACATTTTGTTTATCCGATCCTTGGTTGATGGACATTTAGGTTGTATCTACTTTTTTTGGCTATTATAAACAATGGTTCTCTGAACAATCATATACAAGTTTTTGTGTGGATACATGTTTTCCTTTCTCTTGGATATTTATCTAGGGGTAGAATTTGCTGGGTCATATGGTAATTTTATGTCTAACGTATTCAGGAATTGCTAAGCTGCTTTTCCAACAGATGCATCATTTGACATTCCTACCAGCAGGGCATGAAGCTTCCAATTTCTCCATGCTGTCAGCAACATGTAATTGTCTGTGTTTCTGATTATAGCCATTCTATTAGATGTGAATTGGTATCCTATTGTGGTTTTAATTTGTCTTTCCCTGATTGTTAGTGCTGTTGAACATCTTTTCCATGTGTTTATTGATCTTTTATAGATCTTCTTTGGAAAAATGTTTACTTAGATAATTTGCCCATTTTTAATTGGGCTACTAGTATTTTTGTTATTGAGTTGTTATAATTCTTTTTTTTTCTACTGGGGATCGAACTCAGGACCTTGCACTTGCAAGGCAGGCAGTGGCACCACTGAGATAAATCCCTGGCCCAAGTTGTTAAAATTCTTAATACATTGCAAATATTTTTTTCTTGTTCTATGGATTGTCTTTCCTTTCTTGATGGTGTCCTTTGATGCACAAATGCTCTTAATTTTGATGATACCCAATTTATTTTTTTTCTCTTATTGCTTTTTCATTGGTGTTGCATCAGTAAATTATTTCTAGGGTCACAAAGATTTATGCCTGTTTTCTTCCATGTTCAGTAGTATAAAATCATAAACTAAGATCTTTGATCATTCATTTTTGTATGTGTATAAATTTTACACACATGCATGTGAATTTCAAATCATTGCTGAAAAGAACATTCTCTCCCCCATTGCATTGTCAAAAAGCAATCTAGAGTTTGAAAATGGCATCCTCCTCACAGAATGGGACATCTGCAGCACCTGAGAAAAATGAATTTCGCAGCCAGAAACTGAAGCCAGAGAACTGAGCACATTAGTACAACCCTGGACCTGACTGAGGGCAGCATGACTGTTTGTACTACAAAGAAGACTTTTGATCCATACAACATCATCAGGGCCAGAGATCTAATAAAACTGTTAGCAAGAAGTATTTCATTTGAACAGGCAGTGTGACATGTAAAATGCTCAAGAGGTCATGTCTGTGACTTATCTAGAGACTAGTCTTTGGGAGGTGAGAGTAGCATGAAGATGAGAGATGGCTAAGACTGGCATTATTATTATTTTTTGGCTTTTTGAGACAAGGTCTCACTATGTAGTCCAAACTGGCCTCAAAATTTGCTATGTAGTCCAGGTTGGCCTCAAACTCGTGGAGATCCTCCTGCCTCTGCCTCCCAAGTGTTGGGATTACAGGTGTGTGCCACAACACCCGCTCTAAGAGTCTGAATTTGTTAAAGCTTCAAGGTTTAAAAAAATGTGAATATATTTCAACTTTCAGAAAGGATAAGAGAAAGGGCAAAACCAGGACACAAGACTGGGAATTCCCGTGACCCCTAAGTGCTTCCTGCTCAAGGAAATAACCATTCACGTGTTCACTAGAGGTCTTATCATTTCCTCCTATACCTGGTGCAAAATAATCCATCACCTCCCAAAAGCTTCCTTTCCAAGCACGATTTCCCCATTATTTTGGTCCCAACTAGTCCTATTCTTTAGTGGCCTGTAGACACACTCCCAACTACCCCCCTGGGGGGGGGGGTAAAAAATACAGGAATTTCCTCTAGGCTGGCCCCAATGATCAGAATTAAAATAAGAGTCCGGGCTGGCAGTCTCCTGGAGATAAACAATTTGAGAAGCTAAATCTACCTTTCCAAGGATAGAAAATTTATTCAGATAATGCTTGAGAATTCATATATGCCACAATAGGATAAGAATGAAAAGGTAGAAATCTCACTGTTCCTTATCCCTCCCCTACTGCCCAACCACTCCAGACTTCATATCACTGTCATTCCCATTTCTGCTAAATGGGGGCCCCTAGGCACTAATCACACAGGCAACTGCATGGTATCCTAAGAACACACCACAACTTTCCCATTAAAAAGCTGTCGTCTCTGTCTCTCTGGCTATACTGGCGATTCTCCGGTTACTTCAATACTTTAAAGGCTGCAGCAGCATGCAAAAGAATTTCATTTTTTAAAAAAAAAGTTAAGAAAGGTCTCCAGAAGATGGTAAGTTTTATTTTGCCTTGTCTGGATAGAGGTTTGATTTGCTCTCGAATGTTCCCAGGGTGGAGAAAGACAAGGAGAAAGCACCGGATGTTGAGGTCTAGTCAGCGTAGTCTTCTCCTTCATTTTCATCTTCACCATTCATGGAGAGAGCAGCATACTTGCTTGCAGAACTGAACTTGGAGGATGGATTTTCCTCAGGTTTCTTTGGCTCAGGTGTAGATCTAGAGTCTTGATCCTTTTTGCCATCTTTCCTATCTGACTCCTTCCAATCGTCTTTGTTCCCTCCAACTCCTGGACCACGGCTGGAGTTCCCAGTTTGGCCTTTTTGGACCCTCATCCCATCTATTTTATTTTCATCTGTCCTTGCCAGTCCTTCCTCAGAAGGCTGAGCTGGAACTACTTTCCTCCCACCACTTGTAGGGGATTGCTGCTCTGTGTCTGAGCTCTGAGATCGAGCAGGATGGTTAGAACTTCGCTTCACCCATGCATTCTCCTTAGGTGGAAGGGCTGGCATTACCTTTAGAGGCTGATCAGGTTTGGGAGGCTTAGAAGTTGGAGAGTGACAGTCTTCCTCCTTATTGAGTGTTTCATTTTCTAGAGACTTCTCACTCTCTCTCCTTTGGGCATTTCTGCCAGATGGGGCTGAGGTCCTCGTCTGTGATGATTCACTTCCTGTCCTTGACCTTTCCCGTTCCTGAGTTTCTTCACTTCGCCCGCTTGGGTGTCTCTCCGGAGGCCATCGTTCTAGTTTTGGCTCATCCAGCTGACGCTGCAATTTCTCCTGCTCCTTCTGTAGCCGTTCCTCCACTTCTCTTTCTCTAGCCGCTGTGTCAACAGGCTTTGCCCCTCCAAAGATAGAAGCTGCTCGACTGGACTGGGAGGTGCTAGCAGAGGAGTCATCTTCCTTAGGAGTGCTCCGAGGCTTTAGGTTCAGTTTGGGTCTTTGGGGGGGGGGGGGGACCTCTGTCATCGTGCCTGTAATCGTCCCGGGAGTAATCGTCTCTGGAGCCCCAGGGCCGACCGACCCGTCTGTCATAGCGGTCTCCTCCTCCTCTGTAGTCATCATCTCTACGGTACCCACTCCCAAAGGCTCTTCTCCCACTGCCTATTCTGGAATCGTAGCCTCTATCATAATCTCTGCTGCCTCGGTCATCATAGCCATCCCGGCCCCCATATCTATCCATATCCCGGCGTGGGCCATCCCGATACCCATCCCGATATCGGTCTGAATCATAACGATCTCGATACTTGTCTCCAAAGCTGTTATCACCTCTTCTAGGCGGGCAGTCATCAAAGCTGTCTGTGGCAGAACGGGCCCTCCAGTCTGTGTCTGTTTTGTCAGAATCTCGATTTCTATCTTGCCCAAAAGAACGATCATCTCTGTCTTTATCCTGTGCTTGATCAGCAACATCCACTCGAATTCTCCTGTTACCTAGAGACTCTTCATTGAGACTGAGGCCACTGAGCAGGGAATCCAGGTCCTCAAACTCAGCATAACCAAAACCTTTCAACCTCCCTGGATTGCTAGGTTCACGTGGCAAACGCACTGCACTGATATTTAATCCTCTAAAGAATTCCTTAATAGAGTCTTCCGTTACGTCATAGGGCAGGTTTCCTAGGAAAGCAGTGTAGGGTGGAGATTTGGGTAGACGGCTCCGGTTGATATTGGGTTCCTGAGCAGACCGTGGAGGAGTGGGAAGGATGGATCGGTCAATTGGAGGTGCCCTATACACATTGTCGTCATTACTGTGCCAAGTGGTTGAAACATCTCCTTCCAGGTCATCTGTTTCATCAGCCCAGCTTACTGGTTTGGGGACATAGGTGGTTCCTCCACCAGTCCCTCCATCCTCAGCCAGAAAGTCTGTTAGAGAGATAGTCTTTCCCTTCTTATTCTTTTTTGCCAAGGCTGCCATGTTGGGAGTGGGAGCGAGAACGCCATTCCTTTTATTTCTTTCTCATCAAATTGTTGTGGCTAATGTTTCCAAAACTATATTGAGCAGGAGTGGTGACAGTGGACATCCTTGTCTTGTTCCTGAACTTAGTGTGAAGGATTTCAGATTTGACCATTTAGTATGACATTGGCTGTTGGTTTTTCATAGATGACTTTTATCAGATTGAGGTAGAGACCCTCTATTCCAATTTTTTGTGGAGTTTTTATTATAAATCCATGTTGGATTTTGTCAGATGGTTTTTCTGCATCTATTGAGATGATCGTATGGTTTTTGTCCTTGGCTCTATTCATATAGTGTTACATTTATTGATTTGCATTTGTTGAACCATCCCTGCATCCCTGGCATGAATCCCACTTGGTCAGGGTGTATGATCTTCTTGATGATCTTCTGCATTCCATTTCCCAGTATCTTATTGAGAATTTTTGAATCTATGTTAATTAATGACCTTGGCCTATAGTTCTCTTTTTTGGTTGGGTCTTTCTCTGCTTTGGGGCTCAATGTGATGCTTGCTTCCAGGAATGAATTTGGGAGTATTGCTTCCCTTTTAATTTCATTGAAAAGTTTAAACAGTAGTGGCAGTAGTTCCTCTCTAAATGTTTTGTAGAATTCAGCTGTGAAGCCATCAGGACCCAGGCTTTTGTTAGTTGGTAAGTTTTTATTTACGTTTTCAATTTCACTGATTGATATTGGGTTGCTTAGAATTTTTAGGTCTTCTTCGTTCAACTTTGGTAATTCACACGTATCTAGGAATCTATCTATTTCTTCTGTGTTTTCCATCTTATTGGCATATAGATTCTGGAAGTAGGTATTGATGATCCTCTGGATTTCTGCTGGGTCCTTTGTAATTTCATTCTTTTAATTCCTCATTACATGGTCCTTTTCTTTCCTTTGTTTTGATAAGGTTGGGTAAGGGTTTGTCAATTTTGTTTATTCTTTCAAAGAACCAACTCTTGGCTTCACTGATTTTTTTTGTATCATTCTCTTAGTCTCCATTGAATTGACTTCCGCTCTGATCTTTGTGATTTCCTCCCTTGTATGAGCTTTGGGTTTGTCCTGCTCTTCTTCTTCTAGAAGCTTGAGGTTCAGCATCAGGTTGTTTAATTGGGCTCGTTCTGTTTTCCTAATATGCATATTCACTGCTATGAATTTCCCTTGTAAGACTGCTTTCATTGTGTCCCTTAGATTCTGATATGTTGTATTGTCATTGTCATTTAATTGAAAGAACTGTCTGATTTTTTCTTTAATTTCCTCTGTTACCCATTGGTTACTCAAAAGTGTGTTGTTCAATTTCCATGTGTTTATGAAATTTTTGTGGTTGCTTTTGCTATTGACCTCCAATTTCATTGCACTATGGTCTGATAATATACAAGAGATAACTTCAATTGCTTTGCAACTAGTTAAATATGTTCTATGAGTGAGTATGTGGTCTATTTTGGAGAATGACCCATGTGCAACTGAAAAGAATGTGTATTCTGATTTTGTGGGGTGAAAAACCCTGCAAACATCTGTTAAGTTCATTTGTTCAAGAGTTTGATTGAGTTCTAGTATTTTGTTGTTTATCTTTTGTCTAGTTGATCTTTTTGTGACAGTGGGATATTGAGGTCTCCCACTTCTAATGTATGAGTGCATATATGACTTTTTATGTTTGTTAGTATTTGTTTTATATAGTTGAGTGCACTCGTGTTTGGTGCACATACATTAATGATTGTCATCTCTTCCTCTTGGATTCTTCCCTTTACAAGGATGTAGTGTCCTTCTTCATCTTTCTTGATCAGTGTTGGTTTGAAATCTACTTGATCTGCAAAAAGGATAGCTACTCCTGCTTTTTTAGGGGTTTCTGTGGCATTTTCCACCCTTTAACTTTCAGTCTATGAGGGTTTTTTTGAATTAAGTATGAATTAAGTGTATTTTTTGTATGCAGCATATTGTTGATGGTTATAACTGATACATATTGACAACCTTCTCCTCCCTTTTTGTTTAATTTCTTTTTGTTGTTGTTGTTTATTTTTATTTTTTTGTTTGTTTAATTTCTTGTCATTCCCATTGGATTCATTCTGCTGGACTTCCTGAGGTTTAGATCCTCATTGTCTTTTCTTAGGATATTGTCTAAAATTTTTTTGGAGTGCTGGTTTGGTATTCATGAAGTTCCTATGGTGCTCTTTGTCATGGCATTATTTTATTTCTCCATCAATTTTGAAAGATAGTTTTTCAGTGTACATCAATCTGGGTTGGAATTCGTTTTCTTTTCAGCCTTGAAATATGTCACTCCAAGCTCTTCTTGCCTTGAGGGTTTGTGTTGAGAAGTCTGCTGTGATTCTGATGGGCTTTCCTTTGTATGTGATTTGTTTCTT